GAAATTTTGGATACATTCTTGTTGAATATAAATAAGTATTTTGGTATTAAGTATAATGAGTATTGGTATTTGGTAATTAAGTATAATAAGTATTTTGGATAAATACTTTGAAAGTGTACAATGGCATTATTCAATGTCATTTAAATCATTATACAATATTCCTTAATTTTTAAAAATTTTAAATGGTAACATGTTTTATTGTGATTTGTGAAATAAAATTAGAAGTAACTTCAAATCAGTAAATTTCTTAAAATTACTTCACTACTTAAACGTAACTTATTTAAACTTTTTATTAAAATTAAAAAAATATAATTTTTCCTTTTATTAACATTTTGGTAAATTTACAAATCTGTATTTTATGTCGATAAAAAAATTGAAACTAAGTACAAGTGGTGGTCAAGTGATACCAAGTGCTCTGTAGCTCGTTACCAAAGTTTTCTGGTTCGAATCCCGGTGGTGCCAGAGACGTTTGAAGTGCTTCGGCATCCACTTTAAACCGTAGATCGCAGACTGACCGGAAAGCGTTTTCGTGGGATGACAACCCTACAACGTAAAAAGATAACATCTTCTGTCTCGAAATCTGGTACAGGTTGGGCCAGATATCTTAATAATATATGTGAGAAGTCTAAATACAATCGGTGAATACAATATGACCTAATCCTGTCAAACAACAATCTTCCGCATTTTTTCAACTAATATTGTGATGAAAAGTTTATTTATTTAAAAAAGAAGCCTTAATCCATGTTATTTATTTTATTTAAATCGAAAATTCATAATTTAACTTGAAGTGATTCATTAGAAAATTTTCTAAAGTTTTTATTTTAAAAGTATACATTAATTGACAAATAATTTATTATCATGTTCAGAAGGAGTAATTTTACAATATTTACTTTCTAAATTTCGTCTACCCAACAATAACCATTTGGAATTTCTTCAAAAAGGAAATTGCAAGTGTTTTAGTTTACATTGGACTTTGGCACCTAAAGTTTGTCAGTTTAATTAAAATATGACACTTTACAGATTTAATAATTAAGTTGTTAAACACTGCATTGAGAATAGCTTAATTTTCTTTTTATGAAAATGAGTATCTATGTATTAATTGTTGTTTCTTATCCCACTTGGTCGACATCAATATCTAGACCTAGTCCCTGAAACCGTGTGGTCTCATGGAAGGAGTGAACAGGGGCTGCTTCTTTTTAATACGCTTTTATTAGCTTCCCCTGTATGTTTGTATGTTTGCATGTATGTAACTGACTTTTTCCCCTGGAGATCTGTTTCTCCTCATATACTCTAATAGCGCTGCAAAGAAACATTTACAGGCATCTTTCAGAAAGAAAACAGTTGATTCTTTTTAATACGCTTTTATATTAGTTTCACCTGTATGTTTGTTTGTAACTGACTCTTTGGGCTCGATTTTGCCCTACTTTAAGCGATCAGATCCGTGGGACAGTGGCACAACGGACTATTCGCATTTAGCCTTTGTTTTACTCACAATTACATTATTGTAAGAATTATAGTTCCACTCCTCCGTACCGGGACCTCATTTAAATATTAGTTTAAAAACACTAAAAAACATGCTTTTAGAGTTAATGAAACTAAAAAGTAAAAAATAAATGAATATTTTAAAAAAACTAAAAAAAAACACGCTTTTAGAGTTAATCTATCTAAAAAGTAAAAAATAATTGTTAACATAAGAATAAAATGACTGACGAGAAAATGAATGTCACTGTTCTAAAAGCGTGGGGTGTTCGTTATCAATCGTTATAATTTTTCACTAGTTCATTCCGAAATGCAGAGTTAGTGTAAAAATGTCATACAAAGCACCCCTCGCTTTTGGAACAGTGACATTCATTTTCTCGTCAGTCATTTTATTCTTATGTTAACAATTATTTTTTACTTTTTAGATAGATTAACTCTAAAAGCGTGTTTTTTTTAGTTTTTTTAAAATATTCATTTATTTTTTACTTTTTAGTTTCATTAACTCTAAAAGCATGTTTTTTTAGTTTTTTTAAACTATTAATTTATTTTGATGGAGTACCAGTAGTAGAAGTGTGACGCTGATTTTTTACGAGGTGGGCTTGTCAGCCCTACACCATACGCTCTACAATCATATTGGACCATGCTCTACGGCTTAAAGTGGATTGCGAACCACTACACACATCCATGGCACAACTGAGACTCGAACTCCAAATCTATCTACAGAGAGCTAACCAGGCACCAGTCACTCGACCATCAAGTTTCCAACATAATAATTTTAAAAAAATATTTCAATCATAAATTTTTGACTTAAAAGACACCAATATCAGAGTTTTTAGTACCAAAATACATTTTTTACAACGTTTTATACATAATGACACGTAAATGAGGGTTTTTTTCCACATTTCTTTTAGTTCATTCTTTTTGTAGTTGACGGAAAAGAACTGTTTCCTTGCGATCAATCAAATTCAAACAATATCTGACGGAAATCTCTTTTGCAATAGGAATTATAATGGAATATTTTGAGAACTTTCTACTAGTAAAAAAAATCCATAAGTATAGCATTTATTTCCTACTCAGTAAGTTGGAAATATAAAAAATATTTATTTACTACATATATTGTTCAGTAAAAATAAAAAAAAACACTTTTTCCTTAGACCTCAGATTTAAGGCAATTACGCTAGAAAGTACAAGTACAGACAATAAATAAAAACACTTCATCACGAAAGTTTTGAATAGCCATCCGTCAAAAACCACGAACTTATTCTAAAGCATTTCACATAATGAAAGTTTTTCCTTCAAAAATTATTTTAACTCAGTTTAGTTTATTTTTATTTTAATAAGTGATAAAATGTTTTGTATTAATGCTGTATTATATTCTGTATTATTGCTGTATTATATGCTGTATTAATGTTGTATTATTGCTGTATTGTATTCTGTATTAATGCTGTACTAACTTCAGTACAGTCATAGTGTATAGTATGTTGTGTTAACTTTTATTAGCTTTATAAAAAATATAAAATTTGACTAATTTTATTCAATTTTTATTTTCTCAATATAATAGAAGGATGTTATGTTAATAATATAGATACGTTTCTTTATATTAATCTAAGTATTTTCTAATATTTAAGATGGCCGAATGGCTAGCGCTCTGACGTTCAGTACCACAGGTATCGGGTTCAAATCCCGGCTTTGCCCATGGGTGTTGTAGTGGTTCGGAATCCACTTTAAGCCGTAGGTCCCGGTCCTAATAGGATCGTAGAGCGCTGCGGGGGCATTGATACTCCGCGTCCGTGGCTTACCATCAAAGTGAGTAACATTGGTGCAACCTTTATGGCGAAAGATCACGGTCTATTTGCCAGCTGCATTAGAAGAAAAAAAAAAAAAACATTTATTGCTATGTTAATTCTGAGTATTATATTCATAACATTTTTAAATAATGTTAGCTGGAAAATTTCCCTTTTCCAATTTGCATTATATGCAAATCATGAAAAATTATTACCTGCCATCGGGTATTTAATTCATTAAAATGAAGAAACTAAACTATCTTTCTTGTTGTTTTGCATAAACAAACATCTCTATACTGTTGTGTTTATCCAGTTTGAATAATAAACAGGAGTTAGTTCCAAGCGATGATTTAAATGTTTGATCTTATAATTTCTTAACAAGGGCTGTTTACAATTAACAATGCAATATTTTAACACATTATTATCCTTTTATACAGTTTGTTTATTTTGCAGTCAAGTAATTTTGAATAATATTTATTATTTTTTACTGTTACAAAATTGAATAATGCTTACTTTCTTCACATCTTTTTTTTGTTTAAACTACGTTAAACTATAATTTTAGTGTAATTCAGGTAGTAAATCAAAATGTGTATGTATGTTTATGTTTGCAATGCACGAATTGATACAATCGGAACAAATTAATAGTTAGCTAAAGTACTCAATCTTTAATTCTTATGATTCTGATAAAGAAAATTCTATGGTATTATATATTTAGATTTGAATTTTATGATATGAGTACTATCAAAGCAAAATTTTTCTTTAGATTCTCATAGTTTAATACAAACAGCAATTTTATCATTCAATTAATTGTTTGAAAAATTTTTCATTATTTTTAATTTTTTTTTTTTTTTTTTTTTTGCTGTTATAATAAATAATATTATTTTTTGCTGTTATAGTTCTGATAAATGCTTACTTTCTTCATAAGTTTTATTTATCAAACTACATTAAACTTTAATTTTAGTGTAGTTCAACTAGTAAATCAAAATGTGTATAGATGTTTATTATTTACAATACACATATTGATAGGATCAGAACAAATTAATAGTAAGCTAAAGTACTGAAGCTTTAATTCTTAGGATACTGATATTGAAAAGTATGTGTTATATATTTATGTTTGAATTTTCTGTTAAGTGTACTATTAAAGCAAAATTTTTCATTTGATTTTCATAGTTTTATACAAAGAGCAATTTTATCACTTAATTAATTGTTTTAAAATATTTTTAAAACATTTTTTATTTTATTTTTATTCATTCAATGTTCACGGAATTACTTCTTATTTTAATTTTTCATTTAATCACACGCGGAAATCATAAATTTTTTTTTTATTCATTTAGTAGTAAATTTAAATTTATAAGATTTTTGCTATTTAAAATTTGTCTAGCATCTTATAAAAGCTAAAAATAAAAACATTTTTCTATCAAATATTGCTGTTAACATTAAATAGTTGATATATCATTGTATAATATTAATAGTTGATCATTATATGATTATACGCAGTCCAGTCACATTAATGTGACCACCTGTCAAAAGCCAGAATATACATTCTTGTCTATTCTGGCTTTAAGTGGAGTGTGCAATGTGGTATTAAGTGGTATTCTTTATATACACTCCACTGCAATGTGCTGCCACCTGCCTTTTGTGATTGGTTACTTCACGCTGAGGTCGAAAGTAGGTGGTGGTCGCATTAATGGGACTGGACTGTGCATTATAACATTAATAGTTGATTACAAGGAGCCAACGGCCATACCATGCTGAATATACCGGTTCTAGTTAGATCACCGAAGTCAAGCAACATTGGGCGCGACCAGTACTTGGGTGGGTGACCACCTGGGAACACCGCGTGCCGTTGGCATTCACAAATTTGGGACCTGAATGGCCGAGTGTCTAGCGCTCTGGCGCCACAGGTTTCGGGTTCGAATCCCGGCGGTGCCATGGATGTTTGTAGTGGTTCGGAATCCACTTTAAGCCATAGGTCCCGGTCTCCTATGACTGCAAGAGCGTCACGGAGCCAAAGTCAGACTTCTACTTTTGGGTGCTCCATCACAACAGAAGCTGCTTCCTTCCCCTTCAGTCATGAGTACGTATGGTCTCGTGGGCTTGGTCAGCCAAGTGGGATAAGAAACAACAACAACATAGTTGATTATTATATTATTATATTATAACATTAATAGGCGATATATTATTGCTGCCACCGATTATACGTTTACCATCTCCACACATATAGTGGATGAATTTCATACCAAAGATTTATCATCTTCCCTTAGAAAGCAACAAAGGAGGATCTGGTTAAATTGCATCCACAATGATCTTCCACACTTTGAGGCAAACACATTCAATGATGTATGCAACCCTCTTCCTGTTGTCTGGGGTAGGACAACAGGAAGAGGGTTGTTATGTTCCTGTTAGTGTATTAGTGATTATTTAGCGCGTTAGTGGTTTTGAAAAAGAATGTAACTGTAATGTCTAATTGACAAACATATTGTTTTGATGATTTAGGGAGTTCCTTCCTTTAAGATAATATTCTTCACCCACTATGCCAAAGAAAACTTTCGATAAAGATATTATAATTACATAAATATTTACGTTGAATGCATATCAATAAATTAAGTAAATTTAGTGAATCCATAGGTAAACGTGCAGAATTATTAACAAGGAAATTATTTTAAATTTTATCTATTTAATTATATGAACAGATTTTTGTACTGTAAAATGGTCAAAAATATCAATTTAAAAGATTTTTATCAATTTGATGATTTAGAGATTTCCTTTCTTTAAGATAATATTCTTCACCCAGTATGACAAAGAAAACTTTTGATAAAGATATTATAATTATATAAATATTTACGTTGAATGCACATCAATAAATTATGTAAATTTGGTGAATCCATAGGTAAACGTGCAGAATTATTAACAAGGAAATTATTTTAGATTTTATCTATTTAATTTTATGAACAGGTTTTTCTACTGTAAAATTGTCAAAAATATCAATTTAAAAGATTTTTATCAATTTGATGATTTATGGATTTCTTTCCTTTAAGATAATATTCTTCACCCAGTATGACAAAGAAAACTTTTGATAAAAATATTATAATTATATAAATATTTACGTTGAATGCACTTCAATAAATTATGAAAATTTAGTAAGTAAATAAAGTAAATTTAGTGAATCCATAGGTAAACGTGCAGAATTATTAACAAGAAAATTATTTTAAATTTTATCTATTTAATTTTATGAACAGATTTTTCTACTGTAAAATTGTCAAAAATATCAATTAAAAAGATTTTTATCAATTTGATGATTTAGGGATTTCTTTCCTTTAAGATAATATTCTTCACCCAGTATGACAAAGAAAACTTTTGATAAAGATATTTTAATTATATAAATATTTACGTTGAATGCACATCAATAAATTATGTAAATTTAGTGAATCCATAGGTAAATGTGCAGAATTATTAACAAGGAAATTATTTTAAATTTTATCTATTTAATTTTATGAACAGATTTTTCTACTGTAAAATTGTCAAAAATATCAATTAAAAATATTTTTATCAATTTGATGATTTAGGGATTTCTTTCCTTTAAGATAATATTCTTCACCCAGTATGACAAAGAAAACTTTTGATAAAGATATTTTAATTATATAAATATTTACGTTGAATGCACATCAATAAATTATGTAAATTTAGTGAATCCATAGGTAAATGTGCAGAATTATTAACAAGGAAATTATTTTAAATTTTATCTATTTAATTTTATGAACAGATTTTTCTACTGTAAAATGTATGTCAAAAATATCAATCTAAAAGATTTAGAAACCATCTTAGTCTTAGAAAAGAGACTTACAATATTTACATATAAAATATATGGCACCTCAGATTTTAAACGTTTCTACGAATTTTCCCACAAGTAGCTTACATAGAAAATATCCAAAACAATATTGTATTAAAAATGTCATCGCGCCAGACTAAAACTATCTTCGAAAACTTTTTTTTTCTCGTTGTCACGACACAATAATACTAATGAAAATAATTTTCACTTTAAAAGTCTTTAGGAAAATGATAAAAAAAAAAGAATAAACTTCTACTCGGAAAAAAAAAATCATCCAAAATCAAATTAAAACAGCACAGATCCATTGCTACTTTATAAAAAAGTTCCATCCACCAGTTCGCTTTCAGAAATCTGAAGCACAAATAAAATATCCACCGTATATTTGAACCACGGTTTCTTATTCTTCAACAACTGTGTCATCGGTACCGAAATTTCGGCATCTGAAAGTGTAAAAGTTGAAAGTTTGAGGCAAAAAACCCTTGAGAGTTACAGGGATGAGAGAGATATTTATTATATACGCTTTATTTTTTTTTTTTTGTTTATTTTCTTCAAAGCCGAGTCTTTTCGTTCTTTTCACCTAAATTCTCCAAGCCCCCCACCCTCAAGCTCTATCTCTATTCAGTGTATCCGTTGCACTGTGTGGACAAAAATCCTCAAAAGCTTCGCCCGGTCAGGAGATAGAGGCAAAAAAGATACTGAATTTGTTCGGAAATGCTTCTGTCCCTTTTAACTCGCTCGTTGAAATATTGCCTATCAGAAAGGAAAGTAGTAATTTGGGGAAAAATAGCTTCAATAAAATTATGTTTGATGTCCATTCGTTCGAAAAATTTGTATTAAATAGCTTGAACTTAACAGACGTTTATTTGCTGAAATTCAATATTTCAATCATTTTTAATGTACTATATAGAGTAATGTATTATAATGTAATGTAGTATTCAATATATTATATAGCGTAATGCAGTACAATGTAATATAGTATATAGCGTAATGCAGTACAATGTAATATAGTATATAGCGTAATGTAGTAACGTAATGCAATGCAGTATATAGTGTAAATAAAGTCATGGAATCTTTGCTCAAATTATTTAACAAATTGTATGAATTAGCTTGCACTTGACAGACGTTTATTTGTACACATTTAATATTTCAATTATATTTAATTCACTATATAGCGTAAAACAGTATTTAATATAGTATATAGCGTGATGTAGTGTATTGCGTACTGTAGTATTTAATGTAGTATACTGCGAAATGTAGTATATTACGTACTGTATTATTTAATGTAGCATATAGCGTAATGCAGTATATTACGTACTGTAGCATTTACTGTAGTATATAGTGTAAATAAAATCATGCGATATTTGATATCCATTCGTTTGCCAAATTGTATGGAATTGCTGGAGCTTAACAGACGCTTATTTCTACAAATTAAATATTTTAATAAAATAAGAGATTAAATAAAATCACAACAACTTAGAAAAATTCTTCCCTCCATCAGTTCACCTTCAAAAATCTGAAGCAGAAATAAAATATATAGACAGCATATTTGAACCATGGTTTCTTATTCTTCTACGGCTGTATCTTCGGAAGCCGAAATTTCAGAGTCTGAAAGTGTAAAAGTTGAAAGTCTGAGGCCAAAAAACCCTTGAGAGTTACTACAAGGATGAGAGAGGTATTTATTATATGTGCTTTTTTTTTTGTTTACATTCTTCAAAGCCGAGACTTTTCGTGCTTTTCACCTAAATTCTCCATGTCCCCCTCCCCCACCATTATCATATTGCGTACTGTAGTTCTATTTCTCTATTTCTCTTCAGTTCCAAGAAGTTCTATTTCTCTTCAGTGTATCCGTTGCACTGTGTGGATAAAAAGCCTCAAAAGCTTCGCCTCCGTCCGATCAGGAGATAAGAGGGGGAAAAAAAGTACTGAATTTGTTGGGAAATGCTTCAGTCCATTTTTGCTTGCCCGTTGAAATATTACCTATCAGAAAGGAAAGTCGTATTTTGAGGGAAAAGAGCTTAAATATAATCATGCAATCTTTGATATCCATTCGTTTGACAAATTGTTTGAAAAAGCTTGCTATTAACAGATGTTTACTTGTACAAAATAAATATTTAAATCAAGTAAAGTATTAGCGTAATGTAGAAAAATGTAATAGCGTACACAGCAGCTAACATATGTACATAGCTGCAGTACGCAGTGCAAAGCAGCAGTACATAGTACATAGCAGTACACAGCTTGCATAGCAGCTAGACATTATGTAATAACGTAATAGCATAATTTCTATAACGTAAGATAGTATAATGTAATGTAGTATTTAATGTAATGTAGTTTTTAATGTAGTATTTTATGTATTATATAGGGTAAATAAAATAAATCTTTTATATCTTTCGTTTGACAAATAGTATGAAATGGGTTGGTCTTAACAGACGTTCGTTTGTACAAATTAAATATTGCAATCAAGTAAAGTCTTAGCATAATACAGAAAATGTAACAGCGTAAAAAGCAGCTAACATAGGTACACATAATACACATGAAGTAGACGTTATGCAATAGCATCATAGCGTAATATAGTATTTAATGTAACATAGTATTTAATGAAATGTAGTATTTGATGCATTATATAGCGTAAATAAAATAAAGATATTTTATATTAGTTATTAAATATTACTACTTTATAAAAAACTTTCCATCCATCAGTTCCCCTTTCAGAAATCTGAAGCAGAAATAAAATATACTATACAAAATATTTGAACCATGGTTTCTCATTCTTCAACGACTGTGTCTTCGGTACCGAAATTCTGGCACCTGAAAGTGTAAAAATTAAAAATTTGAGGCAAAAAACCCTTGAGAGTTACGGGAATGAGAAATGTATTTATTACATACGCCTTTTTTTTTTTTTTTTTTTTTTTTTACTTTCATCAAATCCGAGACTTTTCGTTCTTTTCACCTAAATTCTCCATGCCCCCTCCCCACACGAAGCTCTATCTCTATTCAGTGCCTCCGTTCCACTGTGTGCCCA